GGTGAAGCTGTCGACGTTGCTGGACAAATGGATGGAAAGGCCGGATAAAGTTTGTGGGTGGTGGAGAGGAGGAGGTGGAAAAGGTGGGTGAGATCCAGATGAACGATCAGGAGGAGCAGGCGCAGAACAAGGAGCAGGAGCCCCAGCAAAAGCAGGAGCAGGAGCCGAGAGGAGGATGGAGGAGGAGAGGAGATGGACGAGGAGGAGAGGAGATGGAGGAGGAGGAGAGGAGGATAGACGAAGAGGAGAGGAGATGGACGAGGAGGAGAGGAGGTGGACGAGGAGGAGAGGAGGATGGAAGAGGAGGAGGACGAGGAGGAGAGGAGGAGAGGAGGAGGAGGAGGAGGAGGAGCTGTAATCACCTTCATTGGCTGATACCTAGTTCTTGCCTTCCGTGAATCGTGATAGAGAGATGATGGACGACAGTGTCGGTTATGTTGCGCCTCACCTTTGATTGCAATACAGGCATGGATACTTTTCGAGATGACTGTTTACCGCGTGGTCGAATCATCGTCAAGAGCGATATCGTGGTTAGGGACAAAATTTCCCAGGTGAAGACAATTGCAACAGCTCTATAAGACCTCGGTTTAAGGCTAATGCTTCGCAAGAGGTTGGCTCGACAATAGATATATTCCGAGTCCGGTGAAGCGGAATATACAAAATGGTGTCTTGTGTTGTAATCATGTTTTCGCCTCATGTTGATATTGACAGGAAATGCTGTCTTGTGGTTTCTTGCATTCTCTCTTGGCCATGCCTTCACTTGGAGCAATCTTGTAGATACATCGAAGTTTGTGTTGCGAACCTCGCAAGCGGTTTGCTTTCGATCTTCAAAGATTCTACAGTGTCATGCTCACGGTGCTCCTCCATGTTCTAGGTGGCAGCGTTGCACGCTGCTTGTTTCATCTGCTGCTTCCTATTGGATCCCGGCACCATCAAGCACCAAGGTTCATGAAAAAAGCCTCCTCGAGGGAGTGAATCGACTCGATGGACAGATAGCAACAGCGAAAGGGTTGATCCTGAAGACGCTCGTTACTGCTCAACATGCAACGTAGCACGTCCCCTGCGATCAAAGCATTGTTCGAATATGTACCATCGAAAGGCTGTGGGATAACATCTCACCCGCTCCTTTGCAGACTGTGTAATCGCTGTGTAGCAAGATTTGATCATCACTGCGAATGGACCAACAATTGCGGTGAAAAATTTGAATCCTGCGAGTCAACAACGATTGGTGAGTTTAACCCTTCCATCCTTTTAAAACAAATGCAGTTGGTGCGAACAATCACATCTACTTCCTTCTGCTCCTTGTGTAAGGCCAGTGCTTGTCTGGTACTTGTGAGAATCGATGGCAGGTTTTGTGATACGGACATGATTATATGTTTATTCCTTTTATTCTCGAATCTCGGCTCCATTCTGAGGTGAACTGCTTACAACAGTACAAAATTGAAAGAGCCTCATTGTATTTCACAGTTGGTTAAGCTGTATTTTCCTGCTCTTGACCATAATCTTTGTTTGGCACCTCCTTGTCGATCAGGTGACTTCCATTACCTGATTTTTGACAATGAGCTGATCTTCATTGAGCAGATACGATTGATTTCTAGAAACTTAACGCTGAACGAGCGATTCTTCAGCGAGAGGTTTGATAGAAGCAACAAAACCAATATTGACTTGAGTCAGATATGAGTACCTTGCGGACAGCAACGGCATGTTCTACAATCCATTCGATCAAGGAATGGTAAGACAAACTCTAAGTCAAAGCTTCAATTCAACCACGCAGAACTCACAAAATGTTTCACGTGTTAATCCATTCATCTCTGAATGTCACACAGGTCAAGAATTGGATTGAGTTTCTAGGTTGCGGTGAACGTCGATGGTTGAAAGACCATGTGTACACAACAGGTGACATGTTATTAGATGAGAACATGCTGCGAGTATGATAGTCTTGCTTACAAAGAGACACTCTCGTCGACAACTGGCGATCCTGAAAATTCCCAAGGAATGCCTTCAGGATACGAAGAAACAAGTTTAGTGAATGGACTATGACAGCATGTTTGAATCAGAGCTAGCCTCTCAAAAGGCATCTTGCTCCCTTTCCCGCTGCACAATCACAAATGACAACGAAAGGGAGCACCCCGGAAAGATTGAGGAACAGAGCAACGAGCGAGTCCTGAACGAATCTATCCCGTTCGACTTTCAATCACAAAAAAGCTATTCATAGACAACCCCCCCACACATCAGCAGTTTAGGCCTTCACGAGAGGCATTCCACCTATTCAAAATGTTGGCATGGATGACAACAGCACCGTTATTCTATACCTGAGGCACCCCATGCGTCCAATGCTGACTTCTTTCCGTTCGCCATCACCTGACAAGAAAATCAGGAGAACAAAGAAGACACAACATCTCACATCTCTGGTGGATGACTTGGACAATCCCTGCTCGCTCATGGCTTGCTTGAACATCTTGTACTCGGCTTCAGTGACGGGCTTAGCTGCGAATGGTTTTCAGTCTCACAGGAAGAGCCGAGTGCAGATGAGATGAGGAAGAGTACAGCGATGAACAATCATGAAATGCACATCAAGACTGTGATAGGTGAACCGAGAGAGCACGACGAAAGCACATGAACACATGTCGTCAGTAAGTACATATGAGAGCCCGTGTTATGAAAAAATGGTCAAGAATTGGGAGCGGGGAACGAGAATGACAATGAAAACGCATGAGAAGAGTGGACGAGAAAGCAGCAAGAGCACTCCATGAGGAAATGTGAAAGGGGAAAGGACTCGGACAATGTGGAAGGAGGGAGATGAGGTAGGAGAGACAGCAGGGGTGAGTTGGGTAGCTGACTGATGGACGGGAAGGTTGGACAAGGAGATGAAAGAGATCGAGGGAAATGGGAAAAGGACATGAGGGGGACGAAAAAGGATTAACAGGAGGAGGAGAGGAGGAGAGGAGAGGAGAGGGGCAGAGGGGGAGAGGGGGAGGGGGAGAGGAGGAGAGGAGGAGACGATTACAGGAGAGGAGACGATTACAGGAGAGGAGAGGAAGAAGAGGCAGGAGGGAGGGAAGTTGTGTGTGCATTTCTGCATTAATTCGCTTACCGCCAGAAGCGACCTTGAGCATGCGGGTGAACATAGCGGACGACTGAAGGGACAACTGGCGGTTCAAACTTTGAAACTTTAAAGTTTCTGAGCTAACTTTATCAGAGTGGAATGTTGAGAAGTTGAACTTGCCGAAACTTGACTTGAGTGACTTGAAACTCGGCCGGGCGGACTGAGCGGCCCGGCCGTCCGCCGATCATCGGATGACGGTCAGTGACTCTTCCGGGATGCGGCATGCTTCGGAACTCACTTTCGGCAAGCGGCCAAAGGCGGCAGCCGGGCCAGTGATCAGACCCCGGGCTCGACGGGCACCGTCCGGGCCCCGTCCGACACTGGCCGGGCGGCAGTCGGAGCCGCCCGGCGGGCGGCCGCCGCCCCGGTGCCGCGGTGGCTCGGACCGAGCCTCAGTGTGACGGTGGGCGGGCCCGCGCGCATTTGAACTGTCACTCGGAACTTCACGGTCCACCGTGACTCTCGGGCTGACGCACCGCGCGGCCCGCATGTCGGAACTGTCGGTCCCGGATCTGCCCGCGGCGGCGGCCGCGACTCTGACTTGCTAGGACGGTGGAGTGAGTAACCGGTATATGATGCGATATGGATGACGTGGCACATATAGCTTCCGTAGCTCAGTCGGTCAGAGCGAACGGCTGTTAACCGTTAGGTCGCAGGTTCGAGCCCTGCCGGGAGCGAGAAAATCTTTTTGTGAGGGATTGTTGAAATGGCGAGAGAGCGCGGGGAAGGAGGCGTACTTTTTGCAGGAGGACGAGGAAAGCACGAGCAGAAGCACGAAGACGAGAGGACGAGGACGATGGGAACAACAAGAACGGGGAGGGGAAGCACGAGGACGAGAGGACGAGAGGACGAGAGGACGAGAGGACGAGGACGATGGGGAGGGGAACGACGAGGACGAGGGGGGTAGCAGGACGATGAGCAGGAGGGGGAAGAAGCAGACGATTCATACTGTGCACTGACTTATGATCGCATGCAGCGGCCGCTGTTCCATCGTCTCCTCCTCATGTGCTGCCTGGACGGGTGAGGAGTTGAAAGTGATGCTTCTGTTTAAATTGCCGCTGTAAGGGAGGAGACGGATGTACAGAAACAGAACAGGCAGGAGCGAGTGAAGGACGTCGGCTTCATCCTCGTCTTCTTCCTAACGTGGGAGCTGGTGGTGGCGACGTGTTTCCTCCTCACTCCCGTTCCTTGCAGCGCCCTGCTCCTCCTGGCCACCATAGGAGCCTGGCTGGTCATTATACCTAACTTCGCCTCCCTCGTCTCCCTCTCTCCGGCCATCCTCTCCTTCCTGGTGGCACACCATGCCATGTACGAGCACGCACAGCGAAGGGGGAGGCTGATGATGAACGAGGAAGATGCAACCTGTCTTTGCTGCGCTGCTGGAGGACAGCGACCGTTCGTCCCCCTGGCGACTTCAAACAATCATGTGAGATGGTCGGAGGCGAGGAGGAGGGGCGAGACAGGAGGCAGCAGGAGAGGAGAGGCAGCAGAGGAGAGAGGCGAGAGGGTAGAGGGAGAGAGAAGGGAGGAGGGATGCAAGGAAGGAATGGGAGGAGGAGCAGGGGGTACAGCAGGCAGCATGCAGCTGGGACTGACTCCTCTTCAGCCCCGAGCTCGGTGATCAAGAGGAGGAGGGGGGCCACCCCCTACGACTTCGCCGCGTTCGAGCTGATGAGGAAGCGGCCCTGCGACAAGTGCATGTCGCTGTCGGGGTGGGAGGAGGAGGAGAGCGACCGATGGCATCACTGTGGAGTGTGAGGAGCTGGGAGGATGCTGGAGGCGGGAAGATGAGGGAGTTGCTGGTGCAGGTGCAAGAGGTGCGTCCCCAGGATGGACCATCACTGCCCCTGGCTCAACCAGTGTGTGAGTCTCAGCTCCTCCCCTTCCTCAGCCTCTCCCCCTCCTCATCCTCCTCGCCCACGCTGTCCCTTCCCCTCCTCTACTTGACCTCCTCCTCCGCTTGATCTCCTCCTCCTTCACTTGTTCCCCCCTCACCACCTTGCGTCATCCTCTCGCAACCTACACTTGCGCAAACCCTCTCCTGTTCGCTCCCCTTCCCCATGCAGCTCTTCTGCCTACTCCTCGCTCTTCATTTGACCTCTCTCACATGCCGTTGCAGATCGGTCGGGACAACTATCGGTACGTCTCACGTCCCCTTCCTGTTGCCTCTGACCCTCCTGGACCTCCTGCCTCTTGCTCCCCTCCACTAGTCCACATCTCCTCCTCGTACTTGACCGCACTTGCTCTTCTCCTTCCTCCGCTCCCTCTCTTCAACTCTCCTTTTTCCCTCTTCTCCCTGTTGACCTCCTCCCTTCTCTTGACATGACGATCAAGGGATTATGTTCTCGTGCTCCTCGTCTTCCTCTACTGCTCCATCTGGATGCTCGGCATGTCGGTGAGCTCAGCTCTCCTCTCTCCTCTCTCCTCTCTCCTCTCTCCTCTCTCCTCTCTCCTCTCTCCTCTCTCCTCTCTCCTCTCTCCTCTCTCCTCTCCCTCCTCTCTCCTCTCACCTGTCTCCCCATGCCCCTCATCCTCCACTCACCCCAGGCTCTCATCGTCTTCGACAAGTCTAAGACCTTCGAGCTCCCGGCCGGGCCCAAGGGGCTACTCTGGTTTCAACAGCTCCTCCACCTCCTCTCCCGCGACCTCGTCTTAGCCAGGAGCATCCTCATGTCGGTGAGCCCGATCCCGCAACATCGCGAGCGCTCGAGCGCGTGAGGCTGCGGCAGGTCTTGTGCTTCATCGCGCTCCTCATCTGCGGACCTCTTGCAGGCTGGGCTCTGCTCCTCGCCTGGGTGAGCAAACGACCTACTCCTCCGCCCTTTCCTCCTCTCCCTCATCATCATCAACATCAACATCATCATCATCATCATCATCATCATCATCATCATCATCTTCAACATCAAGGATCACAACAACAATATCGCTGATGTCCTCGCCATCATCTGCTCCTCCCCTTCCCCTTCTTCACACTCTCCTCAGGCAGGCGTCTCCAACGTCGACTTCATGAAGAATATCAGGAGCAAGCTTCAAGGGGTGGTACTTCCCTCCTCCCCAGCCCCAGGGTCTACCTGCTCCTCATCCCCATCCTCCTCCTCATCCCCATCCTCCTCCTCGTCCCCATCCTCCTCCTCGTCCCCATCCTCCTCCTCGTCCCCATCCTCCTCCTCGTCCC